CAGGACTGAACCAGGACTAAACCAGGACTGAAACCAGGACTAAACCAGGACTGAACCAGACTGAACCAGGACTAAACCAGGACTAAACCAGGACTGAACCAGGACTAAACCAGGACTGAACCAGGACTGAACCAGGACTAAACCAGGTCTGTTTTCATGTTTTCAGTGTCGTTTGTTTCACTAAATGGTAAAAAAAACAAGTTAATTTGTTACAGTTTTATATTTTTTCTTTTGGAAAATGTGGAAATTTTAAATTGAAATTGTATTTTTTTTCTTTGTTGCTTTTGCACTGAAGTGTCGTTTTAAACTCTTTAAACTTGAACAAAGATGCTCTGAGTTTTATTTCAAATGTGTTTGACAGATTCATGTTTTCAGAAACTATTCCTTGATTTGGAAACAATTTGAGAAGAAAAATGTTTGAGCTGGAAAACCCAAACCAAACAGGTGAATTTAAAGACAGATGCAGAGTTTTTGAAATGTTTTTGGATGAAAAGTTGTTTCAGTCAGTGACCTGGAAAAGGAAAGTCAAAGTAAATCAGTGGGTTTAACGGAGGAACTGAGAGTGAATCTGTCCTGAGTTTCGTTGTCGCAGTTTGAGCTTTTTTCTCTTTAGTGATTTTACGTTATGAAAACACTGCAGCTTTAATAAAGAGATTGTGTTTGTGTGTGTGCGTGTGTGTTTGTGTGCATTTGTGTGTGTGTGTGCGTGTGTTTGTGTATTTTCTGGTTTTAACTTTAGAATCTTTTGCAAATATTTCTTTTTTTTTGTGTAATGGTGAAATAAATGCACTTTGGGTTTGTACTGGAAACTGACTCAGCTCCACTTTGTTCCTCTAAAGACACACAAAGACACACAGGGACACACAAAGACACACAGGGACACACAAAGACACACAGGGACACACAAAGACACACAGGGACACACAAAGACACACAGGGACACACAAAGACACACAAAGATGCACAAAGACCTTGAACCTTCATTTCAGCAAATAAATCTGTTTAACACGATGAGACCTGAGAACTGCCAGTCAGGTCACTGTGAGGACCTCACTACACCTCAGTGTGTGTGAGTTTGTTTGTTTCATATGTGTGTGTGTTTCATATGTGTTTCATATGTGTGTGTGTGACTCCAAAGCCACAAACGAACTGTGGACAGACTGAGTCTAGTCCTGATTTAGTCCTGGTTTAGTCCAACTTCAGGATTCACATTAAAACTCAACAAGTTTCTAATTTATACTTCAGCAAAAATCTGCACAAGACCTGAAACCAGGACTAAACCAGGACTAAACCAGGACTAAACCAGGTCTAAATCATAAAGTGTGTGTTGAGTTTAAATGAGTTCGAGTCTGTGGGTTCAGAGCTGTTTTATTTGTGTTATTTTTTGTTTTATTTGAGTTATTTTTAGTTTTATTCGTGTTATTTTTATATTTCTGGCGTCGTCATTTTAAACATTTTAAACACTTTAAACACTTTCGTCTGATTGGTTCGTGTCCTGTAGAAGAGCCCGCCCCCGTCTCTCTTCTCTTCTCTTCCCATTGGCTCTCACGGGTGATTGACAGCTGTGTGCACCAATCACGGCTCAGTGTCTTAGGTCCAGTTCATGTTTCAATGTTTTTATGAGTCCTCCGCTCTGATTGGCCGATGGAGTGATGCGTGGGCGGGGCTCGTGTCACCTGCGGCCGCCCGCCCTGATTGGCCGCCGTCGCCTTCGTCCTGCGCTCCGATCGGCCGGTCTGAGGGCGGGACCGGGGACCTCGCGGGCGGCCCCTACCCCGTCCCGCACCCCCGTCGCAGGTAGCTCCGCCCCCCTCCGTCCCGTGTTTCGATTGGCCGCTCGCAGGTAGCCCCGCCCCCCTCCGTCCCGCGCCGCGACTGGTCACAGGTAGCCCTCCTTCCTGAACTGTTCGTGCAGGATGTGTTTGTACTCGTCGAATCCTCCGTCGACGCGCGTCACCCGCCCGCCCTCGCACACCCACAGCTCGCGGCAAACCAACCGGATCAGCCGCTCGTCGTGCGACACCAGGACCACGCCCCCCTGCGCCGGAAACACCAGAACACAAAAAAAAACACAGTCAGAACACAAAAAAACACCGTCAGAACACAGTCAGAACACAAAAAAACACCGTCAGAACACAAAAAAACACCGTCAGAACACATAAAAACACCGTCAAAACAAAGAAAGTCTGTCAGGACACAAAAAAAACACCATCAGAACATAAAAAAACACCGTCAGAACACAACAAAAACACTGTCAGAACACAAAAAAAACACACCGTCAGAACACAAAAAAAACACCGTCAGAACACACAGAAACACCGTCAAAACAAAGTCTGTCAGAACACAAAAAAACACCGTCAGAACACAAAAAAACACCGTCAGAACACCAAAAAAACACCGTCAGAACACACAGAAACACCGTCAAAACAAAGAAAGTCTGTCAGAACACAAAAAAAACACCATCAGAACATAAAAAAACACCGTCAGAACACAAAAAAACACCGTCAGAACACATAAAAACACCCATCAGAACATAAAAAAACACCGTCAGAACACACAAAAAACACCATCAGAACAAAAAAAAAACACAGAACAAAAAAACACCATCAGAACAAAAGAAACACTGTCAGAACACACAGAAACACCGTCAGAACACAAAAAACACCATCAGAACATAAAAAAACACCGTCAGAACAAAGAAAGTCTGTCAGAACACAAAAAAACACCGTCAAAACACAAAGAAACACTGTCAGCGCAAAGAAAGACTGTCGGAACACAAACACAGAAGACAAAAAACACCGTCAGAACACACAGAAACACCGTCAGAACACAAAAAACACCATCAGAACATAAAAAAACACCGTCAGAACACACAAAAACCACCATCAGAACACACAAAAAACACAGTCAGAACACAAAAAACACAGTCAGAACACCAAAAAGCACCGTCAGAACATTAAAAAACACCGTCAGAACACACAAAAAACACCGTCAGAACACACAAAAAACACCGTCAGAACACACAAAAAACACCGTCAGAACACACAAAAAGCACCGTCAGAACACCAAAAAGCACCGTCAGAACAAAAAAAACCCACCATCAGAACACAAAGAAACACCGTCAGAACAAAAAAACACCATCAGAACAAAAAGACACTGTCAGAACACAAAAAAAAAAAAAAAAAACACGGTAAGAAGACAAAAAAAAACACCGTCAGAACACAAAATAAAAACACTGTCAGAACACAAAAAACACCATCAGAACAAAAAAAAACACTGTCAGAACACAAAGAAACACTGTCAGAACACACAGAAACACCGTCAGAACACAAAGAAACACTGTCAGAACACAAAAAAAAACAGAACACAAAAAAAACCACAGTCAGCACTGAAACATGACCAAAAAAAAGTGAATTTATGTCCTCGTGGGAAACAGAGTCCTGCCGGTTCATCCAGAAAATCACTTCAGTGTTTAAAAGATAAAACGGTTTGTCCCAAAGGTCATTTATGCTTTTGTGAGGATTTGGTTCAAGGTTCACATCTTAGTCCGGGTCTTAGTCTGGGTCCTGGTCCTGGTCTTAGTCCGGGTCTTAGTCCGGGTCCTGGTCCTGGTCTTAGTCCGGGTCTTAGTCTGGGTCCGGGTCTGACCTTAAACTTGTTGAGGGCTTTGGCGAGGGCTTCGATCGTCTCCATGTCCAGATGATTCGTCGGCTCGTCCAGAACGTAGAAGTTTGGACTGAAACAGACAAACTCCAAAAAATCAAACCTGATGGCCTCCCAGTGTGTGTCAGTGTGTGTCAGGTGCCCTCCCAGTGTGTGTCAGGTGCCCTCCCAGTGTGTGTCAGTGTGTGTCAGGTGCCCTCCCCGTGTGTGTCAGGTGCCCTCTCCCCGTGTGTGTGTCAGGTGCCCTCTCCCCGTGTGTGTGTCAGGTGCCCTCTCCCATGTGTGTGTCAGGTGCCCTCTCCCCGTGTGTGTGTCAGGTGCCCTCTCCCCGTGTGTGTGTCAGGTGCCCTCTCCCCGTGTGTGTGTCGGGTGCCCCCAGTGTGTGTCAGGTGCCCTCTGTGTGTGTCAGTGTGTGTCAGGTCCCCTCTATGTGTGTCAGGTCCTCTCAGTGTGTGTGTCAGGTCCCTTCTGTGTGTGTCAGTCTGTGTCAGGTCCTCTGTGTGTGTGTCAGGTCCTCTCTGTGTGTCAGGTCCCCTCAGTGTGTGTCTGTGTGTGTCAGGTCCCTCTGTGTGTGTCAGGTCCCCTCAGTGTGTGTGTCAGGTCCCCTCAGTGTGTGTGTCAGGTCCCTCTGTGTGTGTGTGTGTCAGGTCCTCTCTGTGTGTGTGTGTGTCAGGTCTCCTCTGTGTGTGTCAGGTCCTCTCTGTGTGTGTGTCAGGTCCCTCTCTGTGTGTGTGTCAGGTTCCTCTCTGTGTGTGTGTCAGGTCCCTCTCTGTGTGTGTGTCAGGTCCCTCTCTGTGTGTGTGTCAGGTCCTCTCTCTGTGTGTGTCAGGTCCTCTCTCTGTGTGTGTCAGGTCTCCTCTGTGTGTGTCAGGTCCTCTGTGTGTGTGTGTCAGGTCCTCTGTGTGTGTGTGTGTGTGTCAGGTCCCTCTCTGTGTGTGTGTCAGGTCTGTGTGTGTGTCAGGTCCCTCTCTGTGTGTGTGTGTGTCAGGTCCCTCTCTGTGTGTGTGTCAGGTCCCTCTCTGTGTGTGTGTCAGGTCCCTCTCTGTGTGTGTGTCAGGTCCCTCTCTCTGTGTGTGTCAGGTCTCCTCTGTGTGTGTGTCAGGTCCTCTGTGTGTGTGTGTGTGTCAGGTCCTCTGTGTGTGTGTGTCAGGTCCTCTGTGTGTGTGTCAGGTCCTCTGTGTGTGTGTCAGGTCCTCTGTGTGTGTGTCAGGTCCTCTGTGTGTGTGTGTCAGGTCTTCTGTGTGTCAGGTCCTCTGTGTGTGTGTGTGTGTCAGGTCCTCTGTGTGTGTGTCAGGTCCTCTGTGTGTGTGTCAGGTCCTCTGTGTGTGTGTGTCAGGTCTTCTGTGTGTCAGGTCTCTGTGTGTGTGTGTGTGTGTCAGGTCCTCTGTGTGTGTCAGGTCCTCTGTGTGTGTGTCAGGTCCTCTGTGTGTGTCAGGTCCTCTGTGTGTGTGTCAGGTCCTCTGTGTGTGTGTCAGGTCCTCTGTGTGTGTGTGTGTGTGTGTGTCAGGTCCTCTGTGTGTGTGTCAGGTCCTCTGTGTGTGTGTCAGGTCCTCTCTCTCACCAGGGCATGGTCATCTGGGCGAAGGCGACTCTGCTCTTCTGCCCTCCGGACAGACTGGCGACGGGGCGGGTGGCCAACTCCCCCGTGATGCCGTATCTGCCCAGCTGGTGGCGATACTCCTCCTCCGGACGACCTCGAGGCAAAGGGCAAAGGTCACACAAGTACAACAGGAGCACCAGAAGTAAAGTACACAAAGAACTGCAGTACACGTAGTATTCGCAGTACATGTAGGAGTAGTAGTAGTACTGGCAGTAGTACAGAGTTGCAGTAGTAGTCGTCGCAGTAGCAGTAGTAGTAGTATTTGTAGTACCGGGGAACTTGTTGGCCAGTAGTTCTACAGAACAAACGTTCAGGTCCAGTTGATCCACGTGATGTTGACTGAAGTAACCGATCTTCAGATTCCTACACAACACACAACTGTTATTACTACACAACACTACACACAACACACAACTGTTATTACTACACAACACTACACACAACACACAACTGTTACTAACACACAACACTACACAAAAATACTACATACAGTACTACACTAGACAGTAGTACTAAACAGTTTGTGTGTCTCTGTGTGTGTGTATGTCTGTGTGTGTGTCTGTGTGTCTCTGTGTGTGTGTATGTCTGTGTGTGTGTATATATGTGTGTGTGTGTGTATATGTGTGTGTGTGTGTGTCTGTGTGTGTGTGTATATGTGTGTGTGTGTATATGTGTGTGTATATATGTGTGTGTGTATATGTGTATATATGTGTGTGTGTGTATATATGTGTGTGTGTGTATATGTGTGTGTGTATATATGTGTGTGTGTGTGTGTGTGTGTATGTGTGTGTGTATATGTGTATATATGTGTGTGTATATATGTGTGTGTGTATATGTGTATATATGTGTGTGTGTATATATGTGTGTGTATATGTGTGTGTGTGTATATGTGTATAAATGTGTGTGTGTGTATATGTGTGTGTGTGTGTGTGTGTGTATATATGTGTGTGTATATGTGTGTGTGTGTATATGTGTATAAATGTGTGTGTGTGTATATGTGTGTGTGTGTGTGTGTGTGTATATATGTGTGTGTATATGTGTGTGTGTGTGTGTGTGTTTGCGCCCTCTGCTGGTGTCTCACATCAGACACATTTGTGTTTGTGTCTAAAAACAAACAGAGGAACTGTTCCACACGAGAACCTCAACTGACAACCAGGTGAGGCCTTCACAGTATTTGTAGTACTCACAGTACTGTGGGTACTGTGGGTACTGCGGGTACTGCGGGTACTGCGAGTACTGCGAGTACTGCGAGTAGAGTGAGTACCGTGAGTACCGTGAGTACCGTGAGTAGTGTGAGTAGAGTGAGTACTGTGAGTATCGTAAGTACCGTGAGTATTGTGAGTACTGTGAGTACTGTGAGTAGAGTGAGTACTGTGAGTATCGTAAGTACCGTGAGTATTGTGAGTACTGTGAGTAGAGTGAGTATTGTGAGTATCGCAAGTACTGTGAGTATTGTGAGTACTGTGAGTAGAGTGAGTATTGTGAGTACTGTGAGTAGAGTGAGTATTGTGAGTACTGTGAGTACTGTGAGTAGAGTGAGTATTGTGAGTAGAGTGAGTATTGTGAGTACTGTGAGTACTGTGAGTAGAGTGAGTATTGTGAGTATCGTAAGTACCGTGAGTAGTGTGGGTACTGTGAGTACTGTGAGTAGTGTGGGTACCGTGAGTACCGTGAGTAGTGTGAGTAGTGTGAGTATTGTGAGTATTGTGAGTAGTGTGAGTACTGTGGGTACTGTGAGTAGTGTGGGTACCGTGAGTACTGTTGGTACCATGAGTAGTGTGAGTACTGTGGGTACTGTGAGTAGTGTGGGTACCGTGAGTACCGTGAGTAGCGTGAGTATTGTGAGTATTGTGAGTATTGTGGGTACTGTGAGTAGTGTGGGTACCGTGAGTACTGTTGGTACCGTGAGTAGTGTGAGTAGTGTGAGTACTGTGGGTACCGTGAGTACTGTGAGTAGTGTGGGTACCGTGAGTACTGTTGGTACCGTGAGTAGTGTGAGTAGTGTGAGTACTGTGGGTACCGTGAGTACTGTGAGTAGTGTGGGTACCGTGAGTACTGTTGGTACCGTGAGTAGTGTGAGGTGGTACCTGTGCGCCTGTCGGACTCCGTTGATCGGCGTCAGACTTTCTCCGAACCAGGATTAAACCAGACTTAAACCAGGGAACCGACTAAACAGAACTGAACTGAACCAGGACTGAACCAGGAACCAGGACTAAACCAGAACTGAACCAAACCAGGACTAAACCAGGAAACCAGGACTGAACCAGGAACCAGGACTAAACCAGAACTGAACAGGAACCAGGAACTGAACCAGGACTAAACCAGGACTAAACCAGAACTAAACCAGGACTAAACCAGGACTGAACCAGGACTAAACCAAGGACTGACTGAACCAGGAACCAGGACTGAACCAGAACTGAACCAGAACTGAACCAGGAAACCAGGACTGAACCAGGACTAAACCAGGACTCCAGGAACCAGGACTAAACCAGAACTGAACCAGGACTAAACCAAGACTAAACCAGAACTGAACCAGGAAACCAGGACAAACTAAACCGAACCAGGACTAAACCAGAACTGAACCAGAACTGAACCAGGACTAAACCAGGAACCAGGACTAAACCAGGAACCAGAACTGACTAAACCAGACTAAACCAGGACTAAACCAGAACTGAACCAGGACTAAACCAGAACTGAACCAGGACTAAACCAGAACTGAACCAGGACTAAACCAAGACCTGAAACACAACCAGAACCAGAACTGAACCAAGACCAGAACCAGAACTGAACCAGAACCAGAACCAGAACCAGGACTGAACCAAGACTGAACCAGGACTAAACCAGAACTGAACCAGAACTAAACCAAGACTAAACCAAGACCTGAAACACAACCAGAACCAGAACTGAACCAAGACTGAACCAGGACTAAACCAGGACTGAACCAGGACTAAACCCGGTCTGAGGCAGGTGTGGTCGTACGATGCAGATGCGGGAGTCGAGGTCGGCGCTCAGGTTGAGTCCGGTGAAGAGTCGTTGTTCTGGGCTGTAGTAAAACTCCACCTCGTCCAACTGCAGGATCGGAGGAGACAACTTCTCAAAGTGATCTGGAAACCTGCGCACACACAGGGTCAGGACACACTACAGGACACGTCACACACGGACACAGGGTCAGGACACACTACAGGACACGTCACACACGGACACAGGGTCAGGACACACTACAGGACACGTCACACACGGACACAGGGTCAGGACACACTACAGGACACGTCACACACGGACACAGGGTCAGGACACACTACAGGACACCGTCACACACAGACTCAGGGTCAGGACACACACTACAGGACACGTCACACACGGACACAGGGTCAGGACACACTACAGGACACGTCACACACAGACTCAGGGTCAGGACACACTACAGGACACGTCACACACGGACTCAGGGTCAGGACACACTACAGGACACGTCACACACACGGACAAAGGGTCAGGACACACTACAGGACACGTCACACACGGACACAGGGTCAGGACACACTACAGGACACACTACAGGACACGTCACACACGGACACAGGGTCAGGACACACTACAGGACACGTCACACACGGACACAGGGTCAGGACACACTACAGGACACGTCACACACGGACTCAGGGTCAGGACACACTACAGGACACGTCACACACGGACACAGGGTCAGGACACACTACAGGACACGTCACACACGGACACAGGGTCAGGACACACTACAGGACACGTCACACACGGACACAGGGTCAGGACACACTACAGGACACGTCACACACGGACACAGGGTCAGGACACACTACAGGACACGTCACACACACGGACACAGGGTCAGGACACACTACAGGACACGTCACACACAGACTCAGGGTCAGGACACACTACAGGACACGTCACACACGGACACAGGGTCAGGACACACTACAGGACACGTCACACACGGACTCAGGGTCAGGACACACTACAGGACACGTCACACACGGACTCAGGGTCAGGACACACTACAGGACACGTCACACACGGACAAAGGTCAGGACACACTACAGGACACGTCACACACGGACACAGGGTCAGGACACACTACAGGACACACTACAGGACACGTCACACACGGACACAGGGTCAGGACACACTACAGGACACGTCACACACGGACACAGGGTCAGGACACACTACAGGACACGTCACACACGGACACAGGGTCAGGACACACTACAGGACACGTCACACACGGACACAGGGTACAGGACACGTCACACACGGACACAGGGTCAGGACACACTACAGGACACGTCACACACGGACACAGGGTCAGGGTCAGGACACACTACAGGACACGTCACACACGGACACAGGGTCAGGACACACTACAGGACACGTCACACACGGACACAGGGTCAGGACACACTACAGGACACGTCACACACGGACACAGGGTCAGGACACACTACAGGACACGTCACACACAGACTCAGGGTCAGGACACACTACAGGACACGTCACACACGGACTCAGGGTCAGGACACACTACAGGACACGTCACACACAGACTCAGGGTCAGGACACACTACAGGACACGTCACACACAGACTCAGGGTCAGGACACACTACAGGACACGTCACACGGACTCAGGGTCAGGACACACTACAGGACACGTCACACGGACACAGGGTCAGGACACACTACAGGACACGTCACACACGGACACAGGGTCAGGACACACTACAGGACACGTCACACACGGACACAGGGTCAGGACACACTACAGGACACGTCACACACGGACACAGGGTCAGGACACACTACAGGACACGTCACACACAGACTCAGGGTCAGGACACACTACAGGACACGTCACACACGGACACAGGGTCAGGACACACTACAGGACACGTCACACACAGACTCAGGGTCAGGACACACTACAGGACACGTCACACACGGACACAGGGTCAGGACACACTACAGGACACGTCACACACGGACACAGGGTCAGGACACACTACAGGACACGTCACACACGGACTCAGGGTCAGGACACACTACAGGACACGTCACACACGGACTCAGGGTCAGGACACACTACAGGACACGTCACACACGGACTCAGGATCAGGACACACTACAGGACATTTCACACAGTAGAACAGTTAAAGACATACTGAGGGACATTTCATGGTTCCACAGAGTATAAATGAGTCTTACCGTAGAACGACCTCAGACTCTTTCTCCAGAGGCTTCAGCTCAGGACTGAACACACACACACACACACACACAGACACACACACACACACACACACACACACAGGAAAGAGAAGAGACACAGACACATGTTAGATGAGTCTGCTGAGACAGATTAAACTCCACTGCTCTGTTTGTGATTATGAGGAAAATACACACACGTCCCTCACACACATGTGACACGCTCCTGTGTGTCATGTCACATAGTGTGTGTGTGTGTGATGCTCACATATTGTGTGTGTGTCATGTTCACACTGTGTGTCATGTTCACATAGTGTGTGTTACAGGGTGAGTGCTGTGCAGTGTGTGTGTGCGTGCGTGTGTGTCTGTGTGTGTGTCTGTGTCTGTGTGTCGTGTGTGTGTGTGTGTGTCTGTGTGTGTGTGTGTGTCTGTGTGTGTGTGTGTCTGTGTGTGTGTGTCTGTGTGTGTGTCTGTGTGTGTGTGTGTGTGTGTGTGTGTGTGTGTGTGTGTCTGTGTGTGTGTGTCTGTGTGTGTGTGTGTCTGTGTGTGTGTGTGTGTGTGTGTCTGTGTGTGTGTGTGTGTGTCTGTGTGTGTGTGTGTGTGTGTCTGTGTGTCTGTGTGTGTCTGTGTGTGTGTGTGTGTGTGTGTGTGTGTGTGTCTGTGTGTGTCTGTCTGTGTGTGTGTGTGTGTGTCTGTGTCTGTGTGTGTGTGTCTGTGTGTGTGTGTCTGTGTGTGTGTGTGTGTCTGTGTGTGTGTGTGTGTCTGTGTGTGTGTGTGTGTGTCTGTGTGTGTGTGTCTGTGTGTGTGTGTGTGTGTCTGTGTGTGTGTGTGTCTGTGTGTGTGTGTCTGTGTGTGTGTGTGTCTGTGTGTGTGTGTGTGTGTCTGTGTGTGTGTGTGTCTGTGTGTGTGTGTGTGTCTGTGTGTGTGTGTGTGTGTGTGTCTGTGTGTGTGTGTGTGTGTGTGTGTGTGTGTCTGTGTGTGTGTGTGTGTGTGTGTGTGTGTGTCTGTGTGTGTGTGTGTGTGTGTGTGTCTGTGTGTGTGTGTGTCTGTGTGTGTGTGTGTGTGTGTGTGTGTCTGTGTGTGTGTGTGTGTGTGTGTGTGTGTCTGTGTGTGTGTGTGTGTGTGTCTGTGTGTGTGTGTGTGTGTGTGTGTCTGTGTGATGCTCTAACATCATTTTGTTGTGATTTAATAACAAACTGAACCAAAGTGAAGTAAACTAAAGTGTGACTCACAGTTTCTCGAGCAGTTTGAGTTTACTCTGGACCTGAGCCGCTCTGTTGGCGTTGTACCGAAACCTGTCGATAAAAACCTGAAACACACAAACACACACACACTAAAAACCTGAAACACACAAACACACACACACTAAAAACCTGAAACACACAAACACACACACACACACTAAAAACCTGAAACACACAAACAACACACACACTAAAAACCTGAAACACACAAACACACACACACTAAAAACCTGAAACACACAAACACACACACACTAAAAACCTGAAACACACAAACAACACACACACTAAAAACCTGAAACACACAAACACACACACACTAAAAACCTGAAACAACACAAAACACACACACACTAAAAACCTGAAACACACAACACACACACACACACTAAAAACCTGAAAACACACAAACACACACACACACACTAAAAAACCTGAAAACACACAAACACACACACACACTAAAAACCTGAAACACACAAACACACACACACTAAAAACCTGAAACACACAACACACACACACACTGAAACACCACACACACACACTAAAACCTGAAACACACAAACACACACACACTAAAAACCTGAACACACAAACAACACACACACTAAAAACCTGAAACACACAAACACAACACACACACTAAAAACCTGAAACAACACACAACACACACACACACACAACACACTAAAAACCTGAAACACACAAACACACACACACTAAAAACCTGAAACACACAAACACACACACACTAAAAACCTGAAACACACAAACACACACACACACACTAAAAACTGAAACACACAACACACTAAAAACCTGAAACACACACAAACACACACACACTAAAAACCTGAAACACACAACAACACACACACACTAAAAACCTGAACACACACAACACACACACACACACACACACACTAAAAACCTGAAACACACAAACACACACACACACTAAAAACCTGAAAACACACAAACACACAACACACACACACTAAAAACCTGAAACACACAAACACACACACACACTAAAAACCTGAAACACACAACAACACACACACTAAAAACCTGAAACACACACAACACACACACACACTAAAAACCTGAAACACACAACACACACACACTAAAAACCTGAAACACACACACACACACACTAAAAACCTGAAACACACAAACAACACACACACTAAAAACCTGAAACACACAAACACACACACACACTAAAAAACCTGAAAACACACAACACACACACACTAAAAACTGAAACACACAAAACACACACACTAAAACACCTGAAACACACAAACACACACACTAAAAACCTGAAACACACAAAACACACACACTAAAAACCTGAAACACACAAACAACACACACACTAAAAACCTGAAACACACAAACACACACACTAAAAACCTGAAACACACAAACAACACACACACACTAAAAACCTGAAACACACAAACACACACACTAAAAACCTGAAACACACAAACAACACACACACTAAAAACCTGAAACACACAAACACACACACACACTAAAAACCTGAAACACACAAACACACACACACTAAAAACCTGAAACACACAAAACACACACACACTAAAAACCTGAAACACACAAACACACACACAACACACTAAAAACCTGAAACACACAAACACACACACACTAAAAACCTGAAACACACAAACACACACAGTTATACAACACACACACATACCTCACACATAGTCTGTGTGTCCTGGTGCATGCTGGGAGCTGTAGTCTGTGTGTGTCCTGGTGCATGCTGGGAGCTGTAGTCTGTGTGTGTCCTGGTGCATGCTGGGAGCTGTAGTCTGTGTGTCCTGGTGCATGCTGGGAGCTGTAGTCTGTAGTCTGTGTGTCCTGGTGCATGCTGGGAGCTGTAGTCTGTGTGTGTCCTGGTGCATGCTGGGAGCTGTAGTCTGTGTGTCCTGGTGCATGCTGGGAGCTGTAGTCTGTACCTGGATGTGTTGTCTGTACTGGAGCTGGGCCTCGTACTCGCGCTGTTGGTTCTTCAGTCGATCTTCTTTGGTTTTGATGAAGTTCTCGTAGTCGCCGCGGTAACTGTCCAAACGCTGCGTGTGCAGGTGGACGATGTCAGTGACCACGGCGTTCAGGAAGTTACGATCGTGAGACACCACCAGGATCGTAGACGCCCAGGTCTGAGGAGACAGAAAACCGGGACTGAACCAGGACTAAACCAGGACTGAACCAGGACTGAGTTGGGGCACAGACCTGTAGGTAGTTCTCCAGCCACAGAATGGCTCTGACGTCCAACATGTTCGTGGGCTCTGGAAAAAGAAAAAAGACAAAAATCTCAAACCTGCAGAAGGAAATGACCAAAACACAGATTTAATTTAATAATTCTGATAAAGAGTCACTGACCGTCGAGCAGCAGCAGGTCCGGCCTGAAAACACAACGCACAAAGTTACTCAAACAACTCTGACCATTTAACTCCCACAGACGATGATTTAACTCTGACAGACGATGATTTAACTCTGAGTGTAAACCCTCTTCAGTTTCATGTTTGTGAGGAACATTAGAACATTAGAGAAAGAGAAAAACACTGAACTGTTGCAGAACAGTGTTTGTTTAAAGATGATTTTGTGTTGAGTAAAAGTTGGACTCACCGAGCGAAGAGCGCTCTGGCCAACGCCAACCTCATCCTCCAGCCTCCAGAAAACTCCCTGTACCAAAACACAAACACAACCAGAACCAGAACCAGAGTCAGAACCAGAGTCACACGAGGACTAAAGCAGGACTAAACCAGGCCTAAAGCAGGACTGAAGCAGGACTGAAGCAGGACTAAAGCAGGACTGAAGCAGGACTGAAGCAGGACTGAAGCAGGACTAAACCAGGACTAATCTGGTGCAGGTGTCAGTGTCGTCTGAGCAGACAAACATCAGTCCCTTGTTGGTTTGTCAGAAGTAAATCAGACCCTAATCGATCCTTAAATGAATCAAAACTGTTTTTTCTCAAGTCTGGATCCTAAAACAATCCCACTGACAGGACTGAGCAGAACCTTCAGAACCTTTAGAACATTTCCTGAATGTGTTTAGAACGATCTGGAGATGGATCAGAACAAGTGTAAGAGACAGAGACTAGAATATACACATGGACCTGGTTTAGTCCTGGTTTAGTCCTGGTTTAGTCCTGGTTTAGTCCTGGTTTAGTCCTGGTTTAGTCCTGGTTTAGTCCTGGTTTAGTCTGTAGAGAG